GCTATTCAAGAGTTTTCAGCAGATTGGTGAGGAGTTTTATTCATTATGCGACCCGATGTGTATCATCTGTTCACCTGTTCTAATTACGTTAATTGTATGGGGGTGGAGTGTTAATCAGTTTGTGGTATGGCAGTTGAATAGCTGGGTGAGGCACGAGCATGTGGCTTGTAAGCTTCGCACAAAGACGGCCGCGAGCCGATGCTTATCTGAGAAAGTTCATTATTGATTGGAAATAGCTGAACAACGTGTTAATTAGTGAGAGAACCAAAGACTCCACCACACGTGCACATTATGTAAGAGAGAAGCTAACACAGGTACATGGGCCTCCTTTACGGATTCGGTACAATCCATTTTGCCAAATCAGCCGATACTACATACTCGCAGTGATTAACCTTGTTCCGGAAGGAACTGTTTGTTTTAGAAACTGGTTGAACAGCAGTTCAGTTTCGAATTTGACTCGAATAATCATACAACGACTTTATTTCCGTGTTGGCACTAGGAACTGCCACGCGTCCACGACTACATTTTCCTCAAGGTGGTTAATAATTTGCAACCTTTTGAGCAAAGTTCTGCAACACACCTGTGTCAGGGTGCGCCCAGACGTAAGAATAAGTACATGTGCAGAGAGTGACGCATCCTCAAGGTCATCATCGGTTCGACACGTCTGAAAAGTAGGTGAGTTGGCGGCTCTCACCAGACGGCTTAGCAACACACGACCAGCGTAGTGGGCCTGAGAATGTTCACGACCGGACCACCAGCCTTGGCTGCACGAAGCGAACAAGTGATCGACCACATTTGGCTAAGTAGTCATCCTATATATTTACGCAGACGCTCTGTACGTTTTGTCCTGGCAATACAGCCGTGTCCCCAGTTCGCTGTCTTCTCCCTATCGCGTAGTCTGGCAGGCTCAGTGCAGGCGTAACCAATAGCTCGGCCACCGCACAATACAACAACCTGGAAGCACACCTTACTCGCATCAAGAGCACACTCGTGTAATCTCTTACGGTAAATATGACGTAGCGTTTTCTGGATTTCAGGAATGAATTCTAGCAGCCTCACAGGTATTGCAAAGTGTTTGTCATAGGAGGGAGTCGTTCAGCTGTAACACCCTTCCGGTACCTGGCTGCTATGCCGAGCGCGAGGGCTGGGATATTGCCAGGTTGCCCAAGTCTAGACAGGGGAAGTCAAGAGGCAGAGGTCGGGTTCGAACCACGGACTTTCCGGTCAGTAAATTCACGCTCTAACCACTTGGACCATCTCGCTCCGGAGGGAGTTGAGCCTTTCCATTTAGATTTCGTCTTTTATAGGCAGTCTATGCTGAAAAAAGTCATTAAACAACTGTACCATCCATATTTGGGATTTCCACCTGCGAGCATACCACGAAAACCCACGGATATTAACGTTCGTGTGGTTTGAACGCGTAGGCATTCACCTACAAGTGCATGATCAACAATAACTGCTCGTGTACTCCAGAGTTGCGCTCAGTTTCACTTGCTGAGACACGAATGATGTCTAGCCAAACACGGTGTGCTGCCAGGAGAAAAGTAGGTTTACCTCGTGGAGTCTTACTCTATCGTCACTTGTCCATATGTTAAATACGTACTATTGAACTGGTTGGAAGGCTGCCTACAGAACACAACGAAATTTAACCCGTATTACAGTTCGAAATGTGAAGTCCGATCACGTGCAAATGAAAAATGCACAGCTGAGGAATGACATGAGCCATCGCCTACTCTACGGGGGCCATAAGCCTTGGCTGCACGAAGCGAACAAGTGATCGACCACATTTGGCTAAGTAGTCATCCTATATATTTACGCAGACGCTCTGTACGTTTTGTCCTGGCAATACAGCCGTGTCCCCAGTTCGCTGTCTTCTCCCTATCGCGTAGTCTGGCAGGCTCAGTGCAGGCGTAACCAATAGCTCGGCCACCGCACAATACAACAACCTGGAAGCACACCTTACTCGCATCAAGAGCACACTCGTGTAATCTCTTACGGTAAATATGACGTAGCGTTTTCTGGATTTCAGGAATGAATTCTAGCAGCCTCACAGGTATTGCAAAGTGTTTGTCATAGGAGGGAGTCGTTCAGCTGTAACACCCTTCCGGTACCTGGCTGCTATGCCGAGCGCGAGGGCTGGGATATTGCCAGGTTGCCCAAGTCTAGACAGGGGAAGTCAAGAGGCAGAGGTCGGGTTCGAACCACGGACTTTCCGGTCAGTAAATTCACGCTCTAACCACTTGGACCATCTCGCTCCGGAGGGAGTTGAGCCTTTCCATTTAGATTTCGTCTTTTATAGGCAGTCTATGCTGAAAAAAGTCATTAAACAACTGTACCATCCTTATTTGGGATTTCCACCTGCGAGCATACCACGAAAACCCACGGATATTAACGTTCGTGTGGTTTGAACGCGTAGGCATTCACCTACAAGTGCATGATCAACAATAACTGCTCGTGTACTCCAGAGTTGCGCTCAGTTTCACTTGCTGAGACACGAACGATGTCTAGCCAAACACGGTGTGCTGCCAGGAGAAAAGTAGGTTTACCTCGTGGAGTCTTACTCTATCGTCACTTGTCCATATGTTAAATACGTACTATTGAACTGGTTGGAAGGCTGCCTACAGAACACAACGAAATTTAACCCGTATTACAGTTCGAAATGTGAAGTCCGATCACGTGCAAATGAAAAATGCACAGCTGAGGAATGACATGAGCCATCGCCTACTCTACGGGGGCCATAACAGCTGAGCCACCAAGGATACCTACTCGAAGACACACCAAACTTTACGCCGGGATCACTGCATTTATGCCCCATGGGATAACAGTTTATATCTTCCTTATACATTAGTGATCCCTGTGTGTGGTTTCCACACACACACACACACACACATGCACCTTTAAGGTACTGACCGATGGAGGTGCACCGTGAAGAACGTCCTCGGTAATTCCTTCTTTTGAGCATTTGTCTGGGAACTGGAAATTCGTCAGTTCATCTGCTCCCTGTACCATGTCTTTTATTGCCAACGATAGGTGTGTTCGAAATTGTTGTGGACCACAGTCTCCCTAATGCCATTTTTTACCCTGAACTCCAGTCTGAATAGCCGCCTGATCGCCTGGTGCACTTGACCAAACCAGAGAAAGTCAACAAAAGTGTGAGCCAGCTGCTCTATTGATCACTGTGGCGTACAAGCGGTCCAAAGTGATACTAAGAATACAAATCATCTGTCAAGGGTGAGTGAAAAACAAACAATGAAATCTGTCTCAACGAAAAAAACGGTTATTTCATTAGCAGCTATGTGGTTCCGTTACGTTCGGAGCTGGTTCTCCTTACAGAACTGCCAAACCCGATCCAACTTCACTTTCGAAGGTACAAACATCTCAAGTCTATGTCCGTCCTCAATTTAGACTCTTAGTTCCAGAACATCCCATCAAATCCATGTGTAATCTAATGTCAGTTTCTCAAGATCCTCGTACTGAAATGGCGCCTGAATAGAACCTCAGTGGATACCTTCTGCACATCACATCTTCGATCATATGAAAAAGAAAAAAAGGAAGATTACCGCTATAAATTGTACCAGGAGTTTTAGACAGCTACGCTCATCTGCATATCGGTTTTGTCTTCAAGTGGTATCCCCACTGAATCCCGTTTCTTTGACGTTCTTCAACCAGTCCACTTCATGTTGCATTGGGTACGACACTCATGAGTTTAACTAACACGTAGCACGGTGTATATATCGATATAATGGACCAGCATTTGGGTGTCCTCCACAGAGTAACAATGGAGGTCGTAGAGGGCTTCGACTAGTTCAGAGAATGTATCAGATCTGATCAAATTATGTGTCCGACGAGGTGATTGGCCGAAAATCGAAGGCCTTCTTTTGTACTACGGTGGTATTCCACCGTTGATCAGGCTTGAATTTCTTTGTGTGGCCGAAACAGCTGACACAAAACAGCACACTGTCTGCAGAGAATGAAAGCCTTAATCACAAATGACTACAATGCGTGACCAACCTTCGAGATGGGATGACAAATATCTAACCGGGGAATGAAATTTCCATCACGACATCACCATCGACAGCTACAAGAGTACTGGCATTATGATGATGACGGGGAAGATGTTGATGGAAATAATGCTGATGATGGTGATGACGAGGACTGAAATGGCGGTGATGATATTGAGGAATTTTTGTTGGTGTTCATGATGATGACGATGACGTTTATGGAGCTGACTGCGATGAGGATGTCAAAGGCGATGATAATGGCAACAAAATTGAAAATAATGCTTGACTGAAAAAAATATCGTTCTAACATCGAAACAGTACAAGCAGTGTTTGTGGAACTAGATTTATTTCAGTCAACTTGTGCACTCGGAGGTCCCCCCACGGGAATCAAATTGACGGCATAGCAATTCAAGGAATCGAATGTCTCATGTCCCAGGGTGACCGGGTGCAACATGAATCACGAAATCAAAAACGCAGAAAAAACGCCAAAAACGGAACATGCAGGCACAACTTGTGGAGAGGAATTGGTTGTTTCGGTCTCCGACTTGAAAATTCATGCATCCACTCACGATATTTCGGCATCAATTATGTGTGAAATGTGTGGTATAATTTTGAAGCACCTCCTAAAGCAACTTTGGAATAACAGAGATGATCACGCGTCCGACGGAGCAGAGAGTGGACAAAGTCACAGTGTGCTGAATCTGGAAAAGCGTTCAGAGATACGTACGCTTTAGAACGACATACGCGTTGCCATTCGGCCGAAGAGAACTGCTTGTGTTCAACCTGTGGTCAGGTGTTTCCAAATAGTGGAGCTCTACAGAAAGACAATTTCCTACATCACGACAAAGCACCAATGGAACAAGTAACGAAGCACGAATGCGCTGTTTGTAAGCGTTGGTCTGAAGGCACTCGTAATTTGAAACGTCACTCCGTTGTTCACACAAAACAGCGGCCTTTCGTGTGTGTTTTGTGTGCCAAGGCATATTCGCAGTTTGGGGCGCTTCAGTTACATCAAAGTATGGATCACCACATGCAGGCAAGGTCTACTGCCATCGTAATCCACGTTACCGGAGATGATGGTCCGAACGGAAATTGAACGCCTCGCTTCTATTGCGATTAAGCTGAAAACAAACCCAAACAATGAACGTGATTTCAACATCGTTGTGAACATATTCACTGCGATATTCACCGAATGGTTTGTGGTAAGATTTAGTCGATCTCCCACGCGAGTCTTCTTGCAGACACAAATTCGCCGCACACATTTGAAATCTTTCAAAGGTTACTTACAACACGCAAACGGGAGCGAGATTTATCATGTCATTACGCGATATACACTGTAATTTGAAGGAAAATGGCGGAAAACCCTCGCATTTGATGGGTAATGACAGGTACAACTCGTCCAAATGGCTTGCATTCATTTCAACTTTCTTCCCACAGCGAACGGGGTCTCGTATGGCCTTTAGAAATGTTGCAATATCATCACTGTACTATCCTGTGCTAAGGCCGGGATCTCGAAGAAAGGAATTGGTTAAATAGCCTGGACGCACGATCTAGGTGTCCAATCTGATAGGTAACGTGTAGTCTAATTCACCGACGGACGGTCAGTATTAATTGCAGGGAAACCGAATTCTAAGAACTTCACCTGTGTTTGTTCAGTAGTCACAATGGGACATTGAGCAATATATTGAGTTGGAAGTGGGCAGATAGTATAAATGGATAGACCGTAGTTCTATAAAAAAATTAACAGTAAATCATGAGGAGAATTAAAGAAAGGCTTACGGCTAGATTGAACCTTGCGAAGTTAGCAACGCAGGATGGCACAAGAAGGGCAGTGTGCTATCGGACAAATTAAACGGGAAATTGTTGTTCAGTTCAAAGTGGGACAAATTTTCAACAAGCTCAGAAATAAATAGGAACAAATCGTCTATAGGAAAACGGTTGATGTAGAGTCGACTTTGTATAAAACAGAGCAGATGAGTCTAGAAACTTGAGCAGTCGCCAGAAGGGTATTGAATTAGTCTGGGGAATAGGGAAACAAATAAATAAGCCACGTAATTAACAAGCATAATGGTTTAACCTGAACATCGATCTCAGCTAGCGTGTGAAAGATGCACATGGTTTTAAACCTCCCTGTATTTAACCACACTTTGTTGGAGCTCATTTGTTCGTCGGCGTTAGCTTCCTTTCTCACTCTAACCGGATCGATAGTTTGCTGTGAAATCAGAAACCTGATTCTCTCATCTATGGTTACGTTGCTCTGAGCAGCTATTTTGGCTAGTTCAACGCTTCTCAGTAAATTTAGTTACCTAAAACGCATAACAATTCTCTCTGACTTACATTTTCTACTTGAGAGACGCAATCAAAATCAATTATGGGTAATCGCTAATGTGTTTAACTGACACTGATTCCATTTTCGATAATTATTCCCATACTTATCAAGTCCACAGACATCCATCCTGACATCTACTCCAGCATCCAAGACTTTTCAAGTTAGATAAGATCCGATCAAATCGAAAAACTCTTTGCTTTCGTCGAAACATCGTCCGAGTGAGTTGGCGGAGTCTACTCCACACAAACGCCGCTTTCAAGTTAGATCCGATCAAATCGAAAAACTCTTTGTTTTCGTCGAAACATTGTGCGAGTGAGTTGGCGGGGACTACGCCACACAAACGAAACGTTGGTGAGTTGGCGGGGACTACGCCACACAAACGCCGCACAGGTGTAGCTTGCGGGACGGTTTAATTATCACGCATTTCACAGCATTCTACACAGCAGTAGGTGAGAATTTAAAGGACAACTGATTGAATTCACCTCTAAACGCCACGCACGAACATCTTCTACGCTCCCAAGTACCTAATTCATGTTCATCATTTTTGGAATTTGCATTAGCGTGTGAAGCGCTAAGTCTCCGGCCGGCTTATCCGAAATGTACCACGGTACTCTGCGCGACTGGCCACTGCCACGGAGAGATGCATGCATGCGATGATTCCTCAGCCAGAGAGGAAAAATTCCAAATAAACTATTGACATGATTACCTGAAGACCGGTCGCTTTCCGCATCATAAACAGGGGCAGTGTTCCACTATGGCAAACCCATATTGCTTGGTAGATCGCCTTTTCATGGAATTCATCGTAATTTACCAACCGGGTTTTCCTGGGAACGACACGAATTCACGAACCTTACGAAAATTGTACAATCCATTTATATTCGGTTGAGATTTGCAAGCAAAACAGTCAGTCAACACCTTTCGATGCAGGTTCACATTTCGGGACAAATATAGTCCTATTAAAGTGCACTTCCCATGCCTTATTATTTATACCTCTATTCCAAATAGTGGCTTGACCAAAACACTTTCTAAATTTGCGCCCAGCATAATTCACGTGGCGTTTTGGGCGAGACAAAATAGTTTCATACGTGAACATATTTTACGTGGAACATTTGCCTTGGAGCAGTTTGAAATAGCGTTTTTGTTGTCTGAAATTCATCCCCAAACACTTACTTGTTGTTGTCGCGGCTTGCAGTAACTCTCAACGGAGATCTGACGATGTAAACTGCGATCACTTGGAACGTCACTCATGAGTTGGGACCAGTGCAGTAACGAATAGATCAGAGGTTTCTGTCCAATAGTTTTAGAGGATATACAGGCTCATAATTGGTCGTCCGAGGTGTTTAGTCACTGAAGAATGATTGGAGGAGAGGCAGGATGCTATTTCATTGGACGGTTTAGTGCAATCAGTAAGTCGGATAAGTTGTTCAATATGACTTGTTTGCACTGCGGGCCACACATTTATTCGGGTTTTCGCGAACGTCATATTATGTGGGAAAAGTGAACGGCAGTGTAATTTCTGGGTGCATTTCGCGGAAATTAGGGGATGAAAGAATTTGTACGCCGATTTAGTTACTCTAACAATTTCGAAAACAGGTTAGCAAGCGAGTTGTATCACTGTTCCATCAGTGCGGGTGACCGAGTCGATAAGTTGGATGGCAGTCAATTCAGTGACGGGTTTCTTCAATCACATAAACAATCTCGACTTCCATGGTGGTCTTCGTACAAAACACGTTTAAAGCAACGTTGTTCTAGAACTGGGGAGTAGTGAAACACAGCTTCACAGCTGAGCTCCAATTTCAGCAATGAGACTCTGATTGATAAAACCAACAGTCAAATATTATCGCTAAATTATATTTCTGCCTATAAACATTTTAATCTCAGTGGCATCCTGCTGAGATAGAGGGCGCCTAGCGGTGAGATCAGTTGTTTGATGAAGTACAAATGTTCTCATTATTTTTCCATCAGGAACGATCATTTTCACGGTAGAGCAATCTGTATCCATGATTTTTACATCCCTGAATCGGCGCTCTGTTGAGGTCACCGGTTTACAGTCCGGCACAACTAGCACACGAACCGAGTTTACCAAAACGAGGCATATTTCTTCTGTATATCTGCTAAAAACGAAAGATGTTTCGCTGAGGTTGAGTCATGTAACTCTCCTGTTGCTGGTCCGTTTTGGCCATCTAGTAAGAAACTGCAGCTGTTTTAGATTTTGTCTCCTGTTGATGGTCCGTTTTGGCCATCTAGTAAGAAACTGCTACGCCCGTGTTCTTTCATAGAAATCGTGTAACATCTCGGAGTGTTCAGCCCCAGATTCAAACAAATGGTAGTGAAAACGGATGTCGAGTGGAAGTTGTCAGTTTGTGCACTGAGAGATGGACGACAGGGTTTCGGTTGGCTTAGGAACATAGAATTTGTGAGTGAGGTTCAGGACTTTAGTGGAGATGGGAGGTAGGGAATAGACTGCCCAAGCCCTAATCAGAGCAATGCTAAACGCTGAGACATGTTCCTCCTCGGTCAGTACCGATGAGAGTGAAGCTGTAGCGGTCCCTTCACCGTTGTGCTCACAGAAGCCGATAGAAAACCGTGCAAACGCGAGAGTGTCCTGCAATAGTTTGCGCGCATGAGAATCGGTATAACCAGCGTTTCGCTACAAGCTTCGATGCTTAGAAAGACCACCAACGCAGAACATATTTGAAAAAATCCAAGGACTCTCGTTGGCGACCAGCCAAACAGACATTTTGGTTTTCAGAACGCAAATTCACAATGCAGCATTAAAGCGGCCATGAATCCAAACGCGATCCTCATGCACAAACATCCGAGCGAAACGATGCACATAAAATTCGTCACGTTGCTTGACCGTTTAAAAAAAACTGTTCAGCCGTAACACCCTTCTGGTGCCTACCTGCCATGCTACCCGAAGGTTGTACAAGGGCTGGGGTACTGCCAGGTTGCCGAAGCCTAGACAGGGGAAGTCGAGAGGCAGAGGTCGGATTCGAACCACGTATCTTCCGGTCAGTAAATTCGCGCTCTAACCACTTGTGCAATCTCGCTCTTGCTTGACCGAAGAGTGGAAAAGCGTTAGATATCCCAAGAATTATCCAAGCAGCATAAGGTGCCAACGCAGTCGCAGTTGTGGAGCAGCTTCATCTTAGAGAAAGGAACACTGGTACCAACAGCGAATGGGGTAACGGGGAAGCACCTTAAATGCGCAGAGAACATGACAGTAGACTGTTCCAGATGAAGGGTGACTAGGGGTTTACCTTCAGTTGTGTGCTGATAAGTTCGGTTGAATGAACGACATAATTCTGGGAATCAATCTTTGAGGTTAGCCGTTTCGTCAAGTCATGCGCCGTCCAAAACTGTGCAAACCAATTCACCCTCATTATTTTTGTTTCTTGGTACTTACCACGGACAAGAAATAGGCAAGTCAAGGCTTTCCAAGTCAACCCCGGCGGAGGCAAATATACGCAAACAACAGATTTAAACCTATACTCGGCAGCTTTCACTCACTGGTTAACTGAAACTGGCTTTGGACAAATGCTTTATTCAGTGCAGGTCGGACACTTTGCGCAACTCTTGAATCGCGTCGATGGATGGTTCAATCGCTAAAGGTGAAATAACCTGTTCGACAACAGGAAAACTGTTCCCTGTTGCGGACCACAGTCCCTTAATGCCTTCTTATTACCGTGAACCCTGGTCCGGATAGGCGCTTGATCGTCTAGTGCACTTGACCAAACCAGGCCTGTCTCAATGAGCGTCTTCAC